CAAGCACTGGAGCTTGGGCATGCCTGGGCTTGGCTCCACGTGCCCAGCTGTGACCTACAGCTAGCCAGCAGTGTCTCTGGGGTGAAACACCACCATTGCCGCTATTTGGTTCAGCAGCAGGCCCAGACAAGCCAAGGCACGTCCCATTCGGCAGTATTGGTACATCCAATACCAAAGTGTCTCTGTATCATCCCTGGGCACATCCTCCTGTCTTATCCCTCTGTGGCACCAAGGGAAGGGAGTGTGGCACCATGCTTGCATATGGGGCTGGGAGGAGAAGGAAGAGGGCACAGTCACAGTGACAGCAGTCACCTTGCCAGGTCACCATGATGTGCAATGGAGCCCTGCTGTCCTGCAGGTGACTGAACACCTGGGTGCCACTGGGAATGGCTGAATGAATTTCTTCTTCTGCTTTGCCTACTTGTGCAGCTTTTGCTTTTCCTGTGGAGCTCTCTTCATTTGTACCCATGACTTTTCTCACTTTTAGCTTCCTCAATTCTCTCCCCATCCCACCTGGGGGGAGTGGCAGAGCAGCTGAGTGGGGCTGAGTGTCCAGCAGGGCTCAAATCATGATCTCCACAGTGAAGCTCCAGCCCCAGGGCAGACATGTCCCACCCTGAGGCCGCCCTGGGGGACACTATGATGTCTCTGAACCTCCAGGAAGCTCCATGGTGTCCCAGATGTCCTGAGAGCATGGGGCTGCCAGTGTGTGCAAACCTGAGTGCAGCACAGGGCAGCCCGGGGTGCCAGGAGCACCCAGAAAGGGAGAGGAGGAGCAGTGGGTTCAGGGCTGAGGGGGAGAGGGCTGGTGGCAGCATGGGCACCTGGCTGGGCTGTGAGGGGACAGCGGGAGAGCTGCCAACACTGAGGGTTGCAAAAGGGAGGAAGGACCCCATGGCCTTTCCCAAAATAGAACCATTTCCTCCAATTGCCACATAGTGCAAGATAAGAAGGGACAGGAGTCCTGGCCATTGACCAGCCATGGAGTGGGGCTGGAGCAGTGGGACCCCCAGGCCAGGTCAGGCAAAGGCCTCAGGGAGCCTGGGCCAGGAGCCAGGGGTGACAATGAGGAGAGGTGCCCAGGTTCTCTCCTGTCCTTCCCTATCCTATCTCAACCCCCCAACCTTTTCAGTTTTGGGGTGCGATGGGAGTGGGTCCGCTTATTGTTCCCTCAAATGGCCAGGCTACTGGCAGCTGTGCTGCTGGGGATGTCACCTCGCCCACTCCTCGCTGCCCCGTGCTCAGGATGTGAACACACCAGGGACATTGAGCAGGCTCTGTCCATGACTGCGAGCCTGAAAACAGCAGCAGACACCGGTGTGGAACATCCCACTGGGAGTGCTCTGCTGAAGGAATCCTGCATGGGTCATGAGGACATGCAGTGGGGACAGAGATGGGAGCAAATGACACAAGGGGCACTGCATCCATGGGACTGAGCTATAACAGCCCACAGTGGAGCACAGATGGTGCCACCTTCACACCCATCACCCCCATCCTGGAGCAGAGGCCATGGCTGGTCAATGGCCAGGACTCCTGTCTCTTCTTATCTTGCAGTATGTGGCAATTGGAGGAATTGGTTCTATTTTGGGAAGGCCCACGGGGTCCTTCCTCCCTTTTGCAACCCTCAGTGTTGGCAGCTCTCCTGCTGTCCCCTTCCACTGTCCCCTCATAGCCCAGCCTGGTGCCCATGCTGCCACCTGCCCTCCCTCCCTCAGGCCTGAATCCACAGCTACTCTTCTCTCTAATGGGATCCCCAGAGGCACAGAGAGGATCTGGCAATTATTCATGTTCCAAGGATGAGGAGCTGGGGAGAAATTGGAGTCTGCTGAGCCCCTGTCACTGTCACTCCCAAACATTCTGCCATGATCACTATGAGCAGCTTAGGAAGGAGTGGGGAGAGCAGGAGGGCAAAGCATCCCCTGTGTCCCTCTGTCCCCAGAGCCCTGTGATTTGCCTGCAGCTGCAGGAAGCTCCGCAGTGGCCCAGGTGCCCTGATGTGGCCAAGGCTCTGTCTGGCACCTGCACGGGGCCAGCAGCACCCACACTCCTTGGTGCAGCAATGGGCCCCATGGCAGGACACAAAGAGACGCCAGGAGACAAGGAAAGGGACAAGAGGGGTGGCGAGGACAGGTGGGGAAAGGGTGGGGAAAGGGTGTGTGGCAGTGCAGGCACCGGGCTGGGACACAGGGGGACAGAGGGAGAGCGGCCAGCACCAAGGGTTGCAAAAGCAACCACGTACCCCACAGCCTTTCCCAAACAGAACCCCTTTCCCTGACTGCCACATGCCACAGGGACATGCAGGGACAGGCAATGCTGGCTGGTGCCCTGGCTCTGGATTTTGCTCTCCTAGAATTGGGACAATGGCAGAGAAGCCATGTCCACCATTCCCTGGGGGCAGCAATGGCTCTGTGCTGCTGCCACAGGAGTTACACAGCACTTTTGCCCTCCCAGAATTGGGACAATGGCAGGGAAGCCATGTCCACCATTCCCTGGGGGAGAGTCATGGGAGATGTGTCAGCAGGAGATAGTGGGGATGATACATAGTCATTTGGACATACATGAGGTGACATTTCCCTCCTCCTGAGCCATAGCCTGGCGTGGGCTCCCTAGGATGATGGTTGGCTGCCCAAACACCAGCTCTGTGGCCACAGAGACCCAAGGAGCTCACTGCACCGGCACCCAGATGTCCTGCTTTCCTAGGAAATCAGCTGCCAATCAGCAAGTTCTCCAAATGAGTGCAAAAACAATTCCCTCCACCCAGAGTGAGGATTTCAGAGTCATTCTGCTCTTGTCCCTCCTTAGCCTGGGCAAAGTTGCAGCCCTGTCTCATCCAGAGGATATGGAACATGAAGGGCAATCTGGAGGAGACGTGAGCCATCCCCATTGCAATGGCACCTCTGGCTGGGGCATGATGGAGCTCTGCCTTTGGATCTCCTCGGTCTCTGTGGTGATTGCAGAGGCAGGGGTTGAACCATGAGGAATGGATAGAGACTGGTTCCAGGTGAGGAGAGGACCATGGAGGGGGCGATGTCCCTCTGGTGGTTTACCTGGCTGTTGCTCAAGGATGGGATCTTTGTCCCCTGGAGAACACAGCTACCTGTGCTGGTTTAGGCAGCAGTGGATTTAATTTTATTTTTTTTTTCTGTACTGCCACTCTGGTGAGGGGCCTGCAACACAAGGAAATTTGGGAGGAGATACTGGTGGGATAACTGATCCATACCAACCCAAGGGATATTCCAGATCATATGACAACAGTATATAAAGTGGAGGGAAGAAGAAAGAAGTGAGCTATACCTGGAATTATGGCCTTTGTCTGCCCAGGTCACCATTACCTGTGATGGACCCTGCAGTTCTGGGGAATGCTGAACACCCACTGCCCATGGGAAGTGATGAGTGAATTCTTTGCTTTGCTCTGTTTGCATGCGTGGCTTTTGCTTTCCCTATTACATTGGTTTTATTTCAGCCCACATCTTTTCTCGTTCTTGCCCTTGGTTCTCTCTCTGATGCTGCTGGTGGGGCAGTGAGTGAGTGGCTGTGTGGGCCTTGGTGGCTGGCTGGGGTCAAACCCCGCTGGTGTCACAGAGAGGGACACCTGCAGTCCCCTGCAGCGATGGCTTTGGGCTTGGGCAGCGCTCAGCAGCTGGAGAGGCTTGTGCTGCCCCAGGGAAGTGTCACAGCAGGACACGGGGTGAAGCACTGGCCACGGCTGTTGAACATGCCCAGCGGGAGACGCAGGATGTCCCCAAAGGCCTGTGACCTGGGGCAGCTGGAAGGGCTTGCTGACGTGTTGTGGGCCGCTTGCATCCCCCAGGAGCCGTGGGTCTCTCTCTGAGAGCCGCTGTCCCTGCAGCTGGCTCCGAGCCCGCTGTGTCACAGAACTCCTGCCTGCTCTGGTTGCAGGGCATTGCACCACACTGCCCCAGGGCCTGACGCTGCCCTGCTGCTGGCCACTGCTGCTGGCCACAGCTGGCAAGAGGTTTCGGCACTGGTCCCAGCGGGATGTTGGCAGACAGGGCAGATCAGGCATCTCTGGCGTGGCAGGGGGTGCTGGCTCTGTGCTGCCCTGGACAGGCTCCCAGGGCACCCACACTGTTGGCGGCCAGCACGGGGAAAGATCTTCTTCTTCCAGATTGTTCAAGCAAATCAGAGTGGCAGCACTTCTTTTAAATCTGTTTAGGGACATCATATCCATGAGAGAGCAGTGACCTGGCACAGGGCTCAGTGTGAGGAAGAGATAAAGACTAGTTTTGAACCAAAGTGCTCATTTAGTAAGAAGCCCCCAAACCCAAATCAACAGAACCTCCTCACCCCCCAAATATGATCAGTGTTTGGATGCAGGAGCTAGCAACCAAGTGAGAAAACAGAAAGGTTGGATCCTTACTATCCACAAAGAAAAAGCAACATAATAATAAATAACATAGAGGTGGAATTAATTAGGGAGATCATGTATTTTGTTAGATGTTCAGAAAGAATTTCACAGCGAGACTTTGGGTACAGGATCTACAGGGGCTGGCCAAGAACATGTTCAAGGGTCAGGAGAAATGCCACTGAGAAATAAAAAATATGAACTTACAGAACTGCTCTCTGGCTTTTATACAATATATGTTCTGTGAACAACTTTCCATCCTTGCAATTAAAACAACTGAAAAAAACAATAATCAAACTTATTATTCTGTTACAAACATCAGACAACCATGTACTGACAAAGCATAAAAGAACAGAAGAGCAAATAATTAAACAATAACTATTTAATCAAGCTTTTATTACATGAAAGTGAGTAAAGTTTCATCTTTTAAGCCATGGACGGTTCAAGAGTTGCAGCCACCTTGCCAAAGTTCTCAGAATGGCCGGAGTTCATTCTGTGATGTGTGGCCACTCAGCGAATTGGGTGGAAATCCTCCAAGAGCTGCCCTATTCTTTTCTTTTCTGCAAGAGGTGGGAAAACCTAATCAGCATTTGAGATCGATTTGGAAAATGTTTCACATTAAATCTTTGATGTTAACAAAGCCACCAAAAATCTGATTTTTGCTACCCATAGCAAATATTAGCTTGCTCTTGTAACTAAGTGCACAACTTTTTTTTTTTCCCATACAGCTCTCCACAGGTCCTTGTGGAGGAATCTCAGTAGTAACAGTTTTTTATTTCTACATATTCCTTCCAATATGGCATGATGCAGACCACAGCCCAACAGCCAGGTCACCAAACCCTACTGTGTTAGAAAATGGACAATTTTCACCCAAATTTGCCATTGCATCGTTGGGCTCAGCAACTGCATTTACTAAAAAAAACCCTGTTCTTCACCATTGCTCCAAGCCAACACCAATTCAGGTTTCCTGCCATTCCTATTTATTCTTTTTTCACCTGCTCTGCTTGTTTTCTGAATATTCATCATGAGATTTCTGAATCCCCATGCAACAGGCATTTTACAGGAATAGACACTACAATTGTGAAGTTACAAGAATAAAACCTGTGAGTTCTAATTTCCATTATTTTTTCTTCAGTGGTACAAGTTCGGTCTATCCTTTTTTATTTTTTTTTGGCTGCACTACTTTTATACTAAAATGAGCTTTTAGGAGGAAGAGGTGGCCATTGATGTGTATCAACGGCTCAATAACAATATCAATTTTCACATCAGAAAATCCTTTAGACTGCTGCAATTTAGATTGTGAAGGAGCAGGGAAGCCTTAGCCTGGCAAAATCTTTGCACCCAGGTTACGGCAGGCTGAGGTCTCTCCTAAAATACCAGCTGAGTGTACCTCCTGATCCCTGGAATTCCACTGGATGGTGCCTGATGTACTCGAACAGCTCTCTGTCCACCTTGGCATGCATGTACTCGGCGCGTTTCACCAGATAGTAGCCAACAAAGCAGCCCAGGGTAGCTAACAGGACCTGGCGGTGAACACCTGCAGCAGGAGGAGAGAGGAATTGTCCCGAGCTCTCCCAGCTCCCCGCGGGCCTCAGGCAGGGCCCCGCTTTCCCCAGGCCCCCCAGACTCTCCTGTCTCCCTGCTTGGCCCCTGCCAAGGTCCCCACAGTACCCACAGCTCCCACGGCCCCTGCCAGGCCCCACTTCCCTCAGGGCTCCCTCCCCTTCCCACCACCCTACCCCTCAAGGAGTCACCCCAGATCCCCTCCACCTCCAAACGAGCCCAGCCCCTTCCAATCCCACAAATCCCTCACTTCAGGGCTCCCACCCCTTAACTCCCATCCCCACAATCACACAGAGAACTCCCTTCCTCTCCAAGAGCCCCCCCCGAACTCAGGGCTCCCTCTCTTGCCCTCCCCACTTCATTTATCCCTCAGTGCCCCCACACCCTCCCTCTATCTCCCCATTCCCTTACCTCAGGGCTCCCTCCCCTTCCCAGCCCCTACATCCCTCTCGGTCACCCCAAATCCCATATACCCACTCCTGCAGCCCCCAAACCTCCTCTAGCCCCTCACTCCTGGCTCTTTCCCCTTCCCTCCCCTTTGAGTGACCCCAAATCCCACACCCCCCTTTCGCAGGCCCACATATTCCCTTTACCCACCCCTAGCCTGGGATCTCGGGGCTTCCTCCCCATCCCTAACCCCTGTAACTCTCAAGGTCACCCCAAATCCGCCATCCCGCCCCCATTTCCTCATTCCTAGCTGTTTCGCCTTTCTCCCTTCATTTATCCCTCAGTGACCCCAAACCCCACACAGGCCCTTCCCCAGCTCCTCACCTCCTCCCTCCCCTCGCAGCCCGCTCCGTTCCCCCTCCCCTCAGGCTCTCCCCGTCCCCCCGCACCGGCTCCGAGGATGGGGCGCTGGTTAAAGGCGTTGTCCATCAGCGCCGACATCCACCCCGCGAACCCGAGCCACACCGAGCCCTTGTTGAGGAGCGGCGGCGGCGGCAGCGACCGCGACTCGTCGGGCAGGAACACCATGGCTGCGGCCCGCCGAAGGTGACCGCGGGGAGCGGTGCGGCGGCAGCGCCTTCCCCCGCCGGCCCGCGCCGTGCTCCCGCGTTCCGCTGCCTTCCCCGCTTATGGTTATTTTACCAAAAAAAACCACCCCAAAATCCAACTCCCCGCCCCACAAACCCGTGCCCGACCCAAACTCCCAGGCTGAGCGGCCTTAGCCGGGTCGGGGAGGGGGTTCCTGCATCCCTCACCCCACTGGGTGAGCCGGCCCCCCTGCAGGGCCAGCGAGGCCGGCCGGGAAGTAAATTAGGGGGTTAATTAAGCACTAAAACCGAACCCAGTTTATTTTCAGAGCTCAGATTAAAGTCTGAGACCTAACCCATAGTGTTAGTCTTTTCGATTTTAATTAATACGAAGTCACATTAAACCATTTGCCACTGTAGCAGGATTGACGGAACCGTTAAAGAAACCCGCATTAACAAAACACATCACAGGTCCCAAAGGCTTCTCAGCCTCTTTCCTAAAAATGTATTGTTTAGCTTTTGTCCATGAGAGGAAAGCTCATGTCTTTACCAAGAGTTTGATGGGTGAAGGTGTGGGCGTTAACGTCTTTGAAATGGCTCTTCATGTCTCTGCTGACTTAGGGCAGCGGGTTTGCTGCAGAGCCCGGACACCTCGGCCCCTGAAACAGACAAGGGGCTGCACAAGCCCGAACTTCTGAGCTTTGGGGTACAACAGCGGGTTCAAGGGGCAATGTGCGGTAGGCAGTTCGGGAAGGCTGTACCTTCCTAATGCCTCAGCAACGGGGAAGGAAGAGGGAAACGTGCGGCCGGGAGTTCAGGATCAAGGGAGGCTGCGCCCTCCGAAACCTCGAGGGAAAAACCCTGTGGGTGTGTGCCCCAGTGGACTCTTCCCCTTGATTCAAATAAAGCTGAAGGACTCGGCTTTTTGGACATAGATCTCTGGTGTTTGTGGATTTTCCTGACATCCACACAGGAGGTTGGGCAGTTGCTGCTGAACCTGGGATCATTGGGATGGTACAATGGTGATGCAAGGCCACTTTCAGTCACAGGTTTAACTTCACAGAATCACGGAATGGTTTGGGTTGGAAGGGACCTAAATGGTCATCTACTCTCAACACCGTGCCACAGGCAGGGAGAATTTCCACTGGACCAGGTAGCTCTATCCAACCCAGCTTTGAACACTTCCAGGGATGGCACACCCACAGCTTCTCTGCCTGGCCTCTTGGAGGATTTCAGGATGTGCACGGCTAGAGAAGAGCCAAGAGGGGTGTTTGTAGGGGTTTTTTTTCATATTACCATTTCCCTACACAGGGCAGCACAGCAGACAGATAAACACAAGCATTGTGGATGCCTCACCCTGAGCAGAGCTTTGAGGCTTGGAGCTGAGATAAAATATAGGTGCAAGAAGCATCCTGGCACCACTGGCAGCCACAGCAGCTAAAACAACATGGATAGTGTAAAAAAAGCAGAAACTATGAGAAAATAATGAAAACCAAAGTGAGAATGTCTTGAATATGAACTCACTGGCAGCAAACACTTGAAATGTACAAACTATTTGGCTACAGAAACATCCACAGTGATTAATCTACCTGTTGCCCTAACAAAAGCCAATCTATTTTAAACATCCCAAATATTCAAAGAACTCAAAAAGCATAACTATCCCCTTGGCTATCCTTGAGGAAGGGGTCCCATATTTCAGCTAACATAGAGGAAAGTTCAAAAACTACTGTCAAAAATAGTAATAGTAGTAATAAAAAAAATCCACCCCTCTCTCTTCCCAGTTTTATATCAGCACTGGAATCTAAACCAGGCCCCAACATCAGAGCAATATCTTCTAGGGATGGTAATGTAGGGTTTAAAAGGTATAACTATTTACTGCAGAAGTAACTGCTATCCTTTGTTTTCTGCCTCTGTGGAATCATGTTCCTCAATCCGCCTTTTCCTTAAGTCATTACAGGAACTATGGACACTTGATCTTTTGTTAGAGTTGTAGAATTTTAAAGGAATTACAAATACAGCTAAGGCAGCCATATTATCTGGTACATTTAATAGCCTTAGAATACTTCTTCATTTGAGTAGCATGCCTCAATTTGGTCATCTGGTGTACAAGAAAAGAGCCACTAGAAGAATATGAAAACCTATTTGCAAGGTATCTATGAAAGAAGGAGATCAACAGGACATGGACAGACTGAAATTTGATATCTGAGTGTGCAAGAGTTTGACAAAGCACCTCAGGACAAGTTTCCAGCTACACACTACATCCTTAGTTGTGTGGGTGTCCCTCAAAAGCAGGGTTTAGACAGGAGCAGAAATAATGCAAGAAATGCTCAAACAAAAAATACCAAGTTTTTAATTTACAAATTCCATAGAACACAGTTACAATGCTCTCCTACACAGCAATCATCCCTTGTAATTTGCCACACCAACTCCTGTCCAAATACAAACCATAATGGGAAAATCAGACAGGTTTTCCTCAGGACAGCAGTCTGGACCTTGTTAAGTTTCACAGTTTACCCACAGCCCTCCCTGTCACTGTGACAGTGCTTCCAATCAGTGGTATCCTCGTTGGGCAGTACAGGAGTGCTGGAAGAGCTCTCGTGTGGCGATGGCACACGTACACTGTGTCCCATCTTGGATGGCCTTGTGACAACCCCTCACTGTGCCAGGAATCCCCTCCAAGGGGTATCCTGGGACTGGTCCCAGCACTGTGGCTTTACTCAGCCTTTTGTCTGACAGGAATTCTCTCAGTCAAGACAGAGACGTAGAGTTTCAGCCAAGCGTATGTGATTCCCAGAGCACAGTACACAGAGGTCAGCAACAGGGGGACAAAAGGGAAGTGCTGTTTCCAGGCGGTCAGGGGAAATATGATTTCACAGAAGATCTCCAAGGGCACTAGTTGGATGAGGTAGATTGTTTCAAGCCAGTTTAGTAGAGCTTTCTCTCTCCTGTCAGAGAAATTAAAAAAGAGGCAGTGTTAAAATACATGTTAACTAAAAATAACTATTATGTTTTTCAGCTACCCCAGTCAAAGCGAATCTCCCATTAGATCACCATAATGGTTTAAATAACAAGTTAAAGAGTTTGAGAAGGAAAAAAACCAGTGTGATAACCAAGAGTACAGCTTAATGTCCTTATCAAGTTCCAGGATGCCTTGGAAGCCTAAGGAGAATCTCATCAATTGCTCTGCTTCACTTCACTCTGTTTCAGTGAACAACTGAACAGCCCTTCATACAAAGACTCGTTCCACCGAAGTTGTTCTACAACAAAAGACTGGAAATGTCAGATTTTTTAACCTCTTTCTCCAAGCTTTCTGTAGGATGGACTTTTCTGTGAGCTATCTCTCTTGCAAAGGACAGATGGCAGGAGTTTACTGCAGGTAGTTTAAAGTTTAATTTCATATTTTGGCAAGTTAAAAACAAGAAACTTGCAAAAGCTCCCTCTTGTAACAAAAACTAAGCTCCTATGGAGTTTTTTAGCTAGCGCTCTTGAGACAGAATGACCAAATTCTTAAATAAAGAAAATCACCTACAAAATCAGGTGCCTGAGGTACTGAATACGTGTTTACAGTACTTCATTACAGCTTGGGTTTGCCCTCAAAAGTTTGGGAAAGAGGGAAGTGGGAACTGCAGGGGTTGTAAGGATAAGCACTATCTTTGTCCAAGTGGTAAGAGATCCACAGGCTGTGAAACTACTTTGGCAATTCTGTGTTCTGCCAACCAAATACTTGTAGTTTTGTTGACAAATTACAGCTTGCAAATGAATGTTATTTACAACCTGTCCCTTCCACACATTAAAATACTAACCAATACTGCAAAAACCCACAGTACAATAAGATAAACCATCTGCAGACAAATCACTGTCATAAATGCTAGAACACAGAATTAAATCCTCAGAGGTTACAGCATCACAGCTCCACACTTTAACAAAGCATGAGGCAGGTGGGAATCCACAGCCTCCTGGGACTAACTGAGCAGCTATCACAATAACCAGGACATGCTGCAATAATCCTAATTTAAGCACTGCCTTCTGAGAACAGAGGCAGTAGCATCTTTTGACTAGTAACCCCTTAATTTGACTCTTCAGCATCAGTTTTCTGTGCTGCTTGTCCCTTATGACAATGGCTGTTCCCAGCTCCAGAAGAAATGTTGTTGTTCCTGGCACTGAGATCAAATTTCTTTAATTACCTGAACAGAGATTTCAATGAAGAGAAGCTATAAACAGTAAACAGCAGCATAAGCAGTATTTTAATTGGAAGTTCTGGAAAACAAAGAACATTATGTACTTTTAAAATTAATTATAAAAAACGTTTGCCATATATATATATATACACGGTAGTATCTTTAAATCTTACTAGTCACATTTGCATTATCTGGCTTTATTTTCTCCAGACCTACATGTTTTACTGCTTAGAATGCATAAAAATAAGCATAAACATTTACTAAAGCAAATGCCAAGCATTTGCAATACACTTACTTCAATTATCTATAAACATACTGAACACATCAATTATAATTACTATTTGAGATAGCACTACTAATAAGGTTTTCCTTTTCTAAAGAAAACACAAACAACTGGGAAGTGACTAAAGCCAAAATGACAACCAAATCAAGACTATTGAGCTCTATGTTGCAAACTGTATAAAAATTAACTAATAGAAGAACATTTTACCTGGTGCTGTGAACAACAATGGAAAAAGTGAGAAATGCCCTGTTGTTGCCAGAATCAAGTAGATGCCAGCATCCTTGGCTCTCTGAATAGACAATAAGCTAAAAATGGCAATAAATCGTTATGTTTTTGTGTTTTAGCAAAGAAACCAAATTTCAGCAGAACACAATACAATTGACTGAAGACTCAAGAACAAGTGAAACGGTTTCATAGTACCCCCATCCCTGCTAACACTGCACCTGTGATGAAGTCTCCTGCTTCCAAACCATATGGCCTCACAGATAAAAACACAGGGGAAAAATCAGCCAGGAAACCCTCCCTCAGAAAACCACACACCCACTGAACAAAACTATCAGCAAGGCCCAGCAGAAAACAAGAGCTTAAACATCACTAAGTATCTGAGGAAGGAAAATATTTAGTGATGAAAA